AATTGTATATTAAACAATTTACTTTAATAAATTTTCTGTAAAAAAGAGAAATATAGAATATTTAGATAGACACTTGTATCTCCTAATTTATGTATCTTGGTCAGCTCCAAGCTTACCTAATTATTTATATACTTTATACTTAGTAAAGTATGCATTTTTACATGTTAGCCTATTAATTTACTCTTGATTATTAAGTATCATCAGTTTTGAACTATTAAAAACACAGTGTCTAATAAACTGCCATAGCTTTCTCATAATTTCACTTTTCTTTCCATTTCTGTTTAGGCATGGAAAGAATTTACCAGGCAGCATTACTATTTTAGGGACATAATTTTTCTAAAATTGAATGAGGATCAGTGAACTAATTATTATTTGTCTTCTCTTTTTTCATTCACAAACTTTAGTAAGTATAACTGGCTTAATAAGGGTATCATACTCTAGATGACAAAACAATAGAGATACAATAGGAGATTAGTATTAGGATTGAAAAGATAACACAAAAGATTTTATGTAGTCCGTATTTTTTTTAAAAGTCAATATAAAATGAAAGTAAAAGATGGAAATGAACATAGGATAAGAATAAATGTTTCACTAGAAATTGCAATTATCTTTTGGGGGTGTTAAACTTCAGTCTTTGGTTTATTTTATCATTTTGATTGTGATCACGTATGCAAATCCTGATAACCATTAGCTTTCTCATACTTAATATCTGAAAGCCTCATCAATCAACCTAAATATTGATCTTATTAAGCAATTTGTAACACTTTAATAGGGCCTTTCTGTGCCAAGGTTATATATTGTGAAATTAAAACCTTTCAAAGCAAAATAAAATTTCTTCCATACATTTAAAAAAATAATAATAAATAAAATAAATAAATAAAAAATAAACCCAGCCAACTGCATTGGTGCATTATAACACAGCACTCCATGATGCTGACCCACGGAAGGGCTGGATTCATATTCTAAGGTCTCTCTGTACTCTCCTGAAAGGAGAGTGGAGGAGAAGGGATTGTGATGTAGCCGTCCCCCCTATGGAGTGATTTCTTGCTTTCTATCTTTTTGTCTTTCTCTCCTGCGAGCACACATACCCTATACTAAAAATTTCTCTTAAAAAATAAAATGAAGAAAGAAAAAAACATACCAGACACCCAAGAGATGTTGGTCTCCCTCCCCCTGAGTGAGGGTGATGCTCTTCCTCAGATCCCTACTCCACGCCACTATGCCTGACACTTCTCAGGTGTTCCATGAATGCTAATTTTAACATCCACAAAATTCACTGAAGAATATTTTTTCTTGACATCTAAAAGATGAGCAGAGTCTTGGAAAAGCTGCTAAGCAAAAACCAATCTCTTAAATGAGCATAATTCTCAAAAGACACTCAGAAGTACTTCATGATGGGCAAAGTATTTTTACAAGCAAAATGAGAAATAGCGATTGACTGTTTTAAAAAATAATTAGAATAATAATAATGATTGGGGAAAACATAGAAAAGATATTGAACGTTGAAGCGGGGAGATTAATGTCTCTGTATTGACTGACATGCATGGCATTCCATTTTGAAAAAGCAATGTAATACACTGTAAAGTTACATGTAATCCAATGTAATATAAAGAAGATTATGATGATAATAAAAAATTTAAAAAAAAGAAATACAATGAAGAAAGAATGATTTAAATAAAAAAAAAAAAAAGACACACACGCCACCTCTGGAGTATGTTTTCCCTCATATTTTTCATGTGGGAAGGAGAAGTGCTGCCTTTCAGAATCAACAGAGAACCTCTGAGCTATGCCAGTCTCCTTCCCCTGGGGTAACATTTCAGATATCACGGCAAACAACAGGGCCGTAAATAGTCGCTTGTCCCTTGAGGGACCAGAGAAGGTGAGCAAGCAGCTGAAAGACAGGGACCTCCTGCAGTTGGGTTGACAGCTAGCAAACACAGGACAGCTGTCTTGGTGGAGTCTCCTGTCTCCACAGCTGTGAGGAGGTTGGTGGCCTTCCTTCTGGCTGTACATCCTGACTGATGTCTTAAACGGGCCAGTGTTTCAGTTTCTAAGACAAGACGAAAGCATTGCCTTCCCCCAAACAAGCATAATAAACAGCAACACTTTCCCTAAATTATGAACCCCTGAGGATCAGCTGTGTTTTAAATCAGAAAGCTCTTTACTAGCTAGACTGAAAACAGCAGAAAAAGACATTTCAAAAACATCTCAGTGGCACATGGGGCTTCTACAGAGCCCTAGTAATTTTATTTCTTCTTCAAAATCATCTGGAAAGAAGGCAGGGAAGAAGTGCTTATATATTTAATTATCAAATCTGAAGTTACTCAATTTGCCAAACTTGTTTGGTCTTTAGAAGTTGCTACAGTACATAGAAGATTCATTCTTCCCTAGGAAAAAAGATAATTATAGCTAAATTTTATATTTCTGGGGGTCAAAATTTCTGTATTATTTGATTCTTGCCAACCTGTCTTCCTATTAAATTTAAAAGTATTTTTATACTTTTTATGGCATAAAATTAAGCAATTACAATAAAGAACAAGGTGTTACAAAATATTGTTTACAAAGTCTATTTAGATACATTTTTAAAATTTTATTTATTTAATTAATTATTATTATTATTTTATTTGACCAGAAAGACATACACACACACTCACACACACAGAGGGAAAGTGAGAAAGCAAGCCACCAGGCTTAGGACTTGAACCATGATCAGGCATGTGGGAGCCCAGCACCTTAACCACCATACCACCTGCTGGCCCCTGTTTAGATACATTCTTCTTGGTTTAGGGCACATATCCTCACTGGAGACAGAGACAGAAAGAGAAGAGGGAAAATGAGAAAGCTCCCTCCAGAAGGGGTGGCCACACCTCAATTTCTTCTCCTCTATTCTCCTCTCAGGACTCTGGACATGCCTGCATACATGTCCAGAATGCTTTTCAAGTCACCAGGTGTGGGACTCACTGTGCAGTCGGTCATGTGGAATCCAGCTGCCTTAACCACTGCCACATCACCTGTCTAGTCCTAGATACATTTTTTTAAAAATCTTAATTTTATTTATCATCATCATTATTATTTTTTAATTGCACCAGAAAGAGAGAGAAAGTGAGAAAGCAAGCATCCAAGTCCGGGACTCAAACCATGGTTGGCTATGTGGGAGTCCAATGCCTTAACCACCACATCACATACTGGCCCCTAGATACATTCTTTAATTATAATCATGGTCTCTGTAGCAATGATCTTATTTAATAAGTGATGTTCACTATTTCAAAATTAATTTATGAAGTAATAAAAAGTACCTATTGCTGAAAATGATAGCTCACATTTGGTTTGGCAAGCATTTGTATGCCAGGATGTAAAAGAGAATTTAGCTTTATATTATAGTTTAAACTAGGCAAAAACGTCACAATGTTTGTATTCTGCACTTTAAAAATAATTTAAATTGTCATAGCTGTTTTTAATGTCTTCACTTTTTATAGCAAGTAAAAGACAAGGTTCTAATCTCTTATTTGTCAAAGACAATAAAAATAGCAGTTCTTAACACTGATAATGTGCAGTGGTACCATGGGGCAGTATGGCAGGTGTGCTAGTGATAAAAAACTTACCAGATACAGAAACACGAGCATGAGCAGAAGTTAAGTTTATTAGTTTGGGGGAGAGTGTCCAGAGCCACACCTGAGCAGGTTCACAGGTTCACACCTTTTGGTGGGGAGGGTCTCCTTTTTATGGTCTAGATCTAGGGGAAGGTAAGAATAAACTCTGCAAACTCCAGGTCCAGATAAGGGGACTGCTCTTTTCTCAGGAATGCAGAGTGTCTATCAGCTGCAGGTGAGTCGGGAACATCTGTTTTCCCTGTTGTATTGTAAAAACTTAAGGGGTGTGTGTGTGTGTGTGTGTGTGTGTGCGTTCTTTTTAAAAATTTAACCTGAGCAGGTTTACTTATTTCCTTAGGTAAGGCTCATCTTGGCCCCCTTCATTAACTCTTGCTTGTCTATTTTATTATGAACTCTCCACATAATCTTTAGTCTCTGAAAAACTACATTGGATGCAACCATTGTTCTATTTCCCCCATTAAAATTTATTTTTAAAAAATTTCTAACTTTTTTGTGCTAATAAGAATTTTATCAGATCTGACAACATTGATCCTCAAAGTTGCAGAATCATCATTTACCTCATATTCTTATATCATCCTGTTTTTACCAGCTAGTCAGCAATATGCTCAAAATTCAAAAACATTTAAAACAATGTTGGAAAAATCCTCCCCAGGCCACGTGACAATCCCTTCTCCTCCATTCTTCTCTTGGGATTTTGGGCAGGTATGCACACGTACCTATTGTGAGTTTCAAGCTGCCAAATCAGGGACTAGAACCGTAGTAGGCCATTTGGGAGTCCAGAGATGTAACCATTAAACCATCTGCTGGTCCCAAAGCAATTTGCAAATCTTGATTGACAGGATGCTCCCCTGCAGGGGGAGGTAAGGGAAACATCCTCCTAACATTTTCTCAAAATGTGAATTCTCAGAACTGCATCCCCACTCCTGGGGATTGGAGACCAGGAGGAACTGAGGTCAGCCGCTACCCTCACCCTGGGGCATAACCGAGGACCCCAGCTACCTCCGGGCGGGACAGGGGTTCCCCACCCTCTCCTAGATGAGGGACGGGAAGACCAACTCTCATGGGGGCGTGACCAGGAGCCTCACCTCTCACGGGGGCGTGACCAGGGACCCCAACCTCCCACGAGGGCGTGACTCTAGCTCCCGGTAGGCGCTACCAGGGACCCCAAATCCCATGGGGGCGTGAAGCCGCGGCGCGATCCCGAGGACACTGTAAGGGCCGGCCGGAACCTCTGAGCGCGGCCCCGCGTTTCCGGGCGGGCCCCAGAGCGGGACACAAGTCCGCCGCGGTCTGACGCCGCGGCTCCGGCCCAACGCTGCCATGAAATTTCGCGCCAAAATAGTGGACGCCGCCTGTCTGAACCACTTCACGCGTGAGCGGGCAGGGGGTTGGAGGGAGCAGGCGAGGCCTGGAAGGAGCCATGAGCACGGCGGGCCGGGGTTGGCAGCAGGCAGGGGCCGAGTTGGGAACCGTGAGCCTGAGGCGGTGCCCCAAGGGCCGTTCAGGGGACTTGACAGCGCTCGGGCGGCCTTTACCAACCCGCCAGCACTCCCCCGCAGACGTCCTTGTCGGTGGACAGCCCTTCGAGTCAGGCCCGCTCCCCGCGCCTGCAGTGCCTGAGCTCGCGGAACTTGCTGCGAGCCCAGGGCCGCGCGTGCGGAGTGCGTGCTGCTGGGCGGGCCGGGGGGGCCCCAGTCCTGCCGGACACGCCGCGGCGGGAGCGGTCGGAGGACAGGACGTAGGCTCCACGGGGTGTCTGCACTGTTGATGCGTGTCCACCAGAGAGTGCGCCCTGCGTGCTGCAAGCTCTCCAGGATAAGTGGTCCTCAGAGGTACAAGATGTGCCTTAATAATGCTTTGACCCCTGCCCTAGGAGTCAGTAACATGGTAGCTAAGCTTGCCAAAACCTGCACTCTGCGCATCACCCCAGATAAGTTGAACTTCATGCTTTCGGACAAGCTGGCCAGTGGAGGAGTGAGCATGTGGTGCGAGCTGGAGCAGGTGAGCAGCAGCCCCCCACCCTCCAGGGCTGCTGGAAACACTGTAAATGCCGTTTTCTCACCTCGTTTTCTTCCTCTAGGAAAACTTCTTCAGCGAATTTCAAATGGAGGGTGTCTCAGCGGAAAACAATGCGATTTATTTAGACCTAACATCAGAAAACTTATCTCGAGCTTTGAAAACTGCCCAGAATGCCAGAGCCTTGAAGATCAAGCTGACTAATAAACACTTCCCCTGCCTCACAGTCTCTCTAGAGCTAGTAAGTAGGAGGGATGGGTTCCTGAAATTTCCCAGGATCTTAGTCTTGAAGGAAATGAATTAGTTATGAGTCAAGGCTTTTAACATTGTTGTTGAAAGCTAATTGATTTTATTTAAAATTGAAGATCTGGTACATAATGATTTTTTTTTTTTTTTGCCTTTAGAATTAGGTTCTCTGCATTTAAAAATAGTTGACCACACAATGATCAATTATGGTGCTGCACTTTTTTTCCTTTTTTTTTTTTTAGAGAGGTGTTTTGCTATAGGGTGTGTTCTCTCGCCAGAGACACAGAGAGAGACAGAAAGTGAGAAATCACTCCCTAGGGAGGGATGGCCATGCAGTCATGACAATTCTCCTCCATTCTCCTCTTGGGATTTTTGGCACACATACACAGAAGTGCCTGGCGTGTTGCTGGGTTCACGACTTGAACTGTGATTGACTACATGGGAGTCCAGCAACATAACCATTATGCTATCTGCTGGTCCTGGCGCCGCCTTTCCTAAGCAGTAGAACTTTCAGCATCTCCATTTCTTTTAGTGGTATTGACTCCTAGTCTAAAAGTTATGGTTGATATCTATTTTCACCTTTCACATCTTCGTCGTCTTCACCTGTCTACTGTCATGTCTTTAAATAACCATTCATTCTTCAGTGGCACACCTGTCTTATATGCCACTGCCAGGTGAACTAGTGCTCAGCTCCTCAGAGCACACTTGCCCCACAGTCTTGCTACTCAACAGAAGAAGAAAGTTACATTTCTTGGGACCAGCAGATGGGATTATGGTTACATTGCTGGACTCCCATGGTTGACTGTGGTTCAAGTCCTGGACCTGGTAGCTTGAAATGCACACAGGCATGTGTGCGTGTGTGCCCAAAATCCTGAGAGGAAAATGGAGGGGAAATGATTGCAGCATGCCCATTCTTCCTGGGGGGGATGATTTCTCACTTTCTGTCTCTCTTTCTCTCCAGTGAGTGCGCTATAGCAAAAATCACTCTTTAAAAAAAAAAAGTTGCGTTTCTTTAAATAATTTCTTAAAAATGTATGTATTTCTTACATGAAGGACAGAGACAGAGAGCATTCCCAGAAGGGTCCTGATACCATGATCCATCCCAGCCAACCCCAGATTATAAACATACTTTTACATATCTAGTGTACTCAGGGAAGTCTCTAAACTTGAACGAGGAACCTCCCCACATAGGATCGTGTTATAGGTTGTCACATTTTATTGCTTCACCACCATCTGGCCCCTGTGAACTTTATATTTCTTTTTGTTCGGAGAGATTTTTGCTATAGGAAATGTGTGCTCACTAGAAATACAGCAAGAGAGAAAGTGAGAAATCGCCCCTCTGAGGGAATGGACTCACTGCAGTCCCTTCTCTTCCAACCTCCACTTTTTTAGGTGTACTCACACACACACACACACCTGGTGTGAGTTTCAAACCACCAGGTCTAGGACTTGAACTGTGGTTGGCCATGTGGGGGTCCAGCACCTTAACTACTATGCCAACCTACTGGCCTGTACAGCTATGTGTTATGTATACTGTATTTTATACATCTGCAGCTGAGTGTGGTATTTAGGTGTAAGCTCTTTATGCAAGAGAATTTCTCAACCTTCCTTCGAAACTTCTCAGCTCTTTGCAGTTCTTAGAGCTAATCAGAGTTTCCCATGACATGGTATAAGTTTAGTGTGTTTTTTGGTTACTTCAGGAAAGCAAGATAGTAACATTTCCTGTTTTCTCTTTCAAGTGAAAGATGCTTCAACCTATGAGTCTTGTAGACACACTAGATCAACATAGTTGATCTGGACAGCCGTATAGAAAGTGCAGCACTCTGGGCACATCTTGGTAGCTTCGTGGTTAGGGGAGCTAGGTCCACATGACTGACTGCAGTTCAAATTCTGGCTGTGTTAGCTTGATAGGCATGTATGTGTGAATGCCCCAAATCCCAACAGGATAGAGAAGCAGAGGAGAAAGGATTGCAGTGTGATCATACCCTACTGGGTGTGTTCCCTCCTCTTCCCATCTCATCTGTTGGCGAGTGTGCATGTCCTTTGACAAAGAAAAAAATAAAAAGAGACTGTAGCAGCTGAGTGTGCCATGGTAAAAGAATGCTCCTCTCGGGGAACCAGCCGTTAGCGTAATGGCTATGTCGCTGGACTCCCATGTAGTTGACCGCGGTTTGTGTCCCAAACCCGGTGGCTTAAAACTCACGCCAGGCGCGTGTGCATGCGTGCCCAAGATCCCGAGAGGAGAATGGAGGAGAAGGGATTGCGGCGTGACCATCCCCCCTGGGGGGCAATTTCTCGCTTTCTGTCTCTATGTCTCTCTCTGTCTGTCTGGCGAGCACACGCGCCCTATAGCAAAAATCTCTCCAAAAAAAAAAAAAAAAGAATGCTCCTCTCTTGGTTGCTTCAGTGGAGCAAGTTTGTTTCTTTCTGCCTTACGGACTTCCATATGCTGTCCCAATTGCCTAAAACGCTGTTCCAATTGCCTAAAACACTGTCCCTTCCCCTCCCTACATCTTTCTGTGGCCATTGCCTCTGTCTGTTTGGTGTCATATTAAATGTCACCTCACAGAGGCCTTCCTAAGCCCCTGGTGTGAGGAACGGCCCTCTGCTCAGCCTGGTATTGTGTTGTGCTTTCTTCAGGTCTCCAGTGAGTATGTTATATAATTGTATTTGTTTTCTTTTTGATCCATTCTATTGACTGGGACATAGACCTTGTCTTGTTCACCATATTTACTAGTTCTTAACAATACTTGGAGCAGAATATGCTTGCCAGGAATGTGGACCAAATGGCTATTGAGTGACTATTGCAAACATGCACTTAGATTTGGTATTTCAACTATTTTATTACCTTTTTTCAAAGAATTATTGATTATTTTAGTTTTAATTTGAACAAAGAGAGAGAGATAGCAAAAAAGCAAGCTACTGGTCCAGGACTCAAACTGCAGTTGCCCATGTGAGAGTCTAGCACCTTAACCACCACAATATCTGCCAGCTTTCATTTGCAATATTTTTTTTTCTTTTTTTTTGGGGTGGGGAGAGGTTTTTGCTATAGGGCATGTACGCTCGCCAGAAAGAGAGAGACAGAGAGATAGAAAGCGAGAAATCACCCCCCCAGGGGGGATGGCCATGCCACAATTCCTTCTCCATTCTCCTCTAAGGGTCTTGGGCACACACGCACACGTGCCCGACATGAGTTTAAGCCGCCAGGTACAGGATTTGAACCACGGTCAACTACATGGGAGTCCAGCGACATAGCCATTATGCTAACTGCTGGTCCCTGCAATATTTTTTTAATATATATTTTTTATTTCAATTTCTTTTATACTTTCAATCACATGTATTACTTAGCTTGCAAAGTGAATATTCCAACATGTATACATTGCTTACCAGCCCACTTGAGAATGCTATACTTTTTATCTTCAACAGATAATAACCCATTTCTTTGTCCCGTAAATGCCTTTCCTCTCTATTTTTCTCCTTAATGTCCTTCCACAGACTCTACTCCTTCACCCACCTTCTTCCCACACTGTATCTGGTATTTATAACCATTTTCTATGTTTCTACATCTTCTAGTCATTCAGTTTCAGCTCTAGAATGTGGACACTTGGTATGTATTAAGTGGAGACATACAGTATCTCTCCTTCATAGTCTGGCTCACTTCACTCAGCAGAAAATCTTCCATATTCATACCCTTTCTGTCAAAAGTCAGGGTCTTGTTTTTTATGGTTGAGTAGTATTCTATAGAGTATAGGTGCCACACTTTTTCAATCCATTCATCTATTCATGGGCATTTGGGTTGATTCCATGTCTTAGCATTTGTGAATGATGCCACAATAAACATTGATGTGCAAGCACTTTTCCGACTAAGGATTCTTCTGTCTTTTGGGTAGATACCAAGAATTGGGATTGCTGGATCATATGGTAGTTCTATTTGTAGATCTTTGAGGAACCTCCATATTGTTCTCCATAGTGACTGGACCAATTTACATTCCCACCAGCAGTGTAGGAGAGTTCTCCTTTCACCTCACCCCTGCCAGCACTTATCTTTTTTTTTTTTTTAACCTTAGTCATTCTGACTGGAGTTAGGTGGTATCTCATTGTGGTTTTGATCTGCATCTCCCTTATGATGAGGGGTGTCGAGCATTTTTCATATGCCTTTTGGCTATTCGTATGTCTTCCTTAGAGAGTGGTTTTTCCAACTCATTCTCCCATCTTTTAATAGGTTGATCATCTTTTTTTAGGACAGCTGCTTTAGTTCCCTGTGTATTCTGGTTATCAGTCTCTTATCTGTTGACATAGTTTACAAAAATATTTTCCCATTTTGAGGGCTGTCGATTCACACTAATTACTGTGTCTTTTGCCATGTAGAAATTTTTTAATCTGATATAATCCCACATCTATTTTTGGGATTATTAACTGTGCTTTGGGGGTCTTATTTAAGAAGTCTTTCTCTACCCCGATATCACCCAGAGTTTCCCCAGTGTTTTCCAGGAGCAGTTTTATAGTTTGAGGTCTTAGGTTTAGATCTTTGATCCACTTTGAGTTGATTTTTGTCAATGGTGAGAGGTAGGGGCTCAGATTCGTCTTTCTGTAGGTGGATATCTGGTTTTTCCAGCACCATTTGCTAAAGAGGTTTTCCTTTTTCCACTGGATTGACTGGTACCCTTTGTCCAAAATCAGTTGGCTGTATGTTTGGGAGTTTTTTTCTAGAGTCTTTATTCTTTTCCATTGTTCTACCTGTCTGTTTCTGTGCCAGTACCATGCTCTTTTGATTATCACAGCTTTGTAGTATATTTTTGGGTCAAGGAGTGAGATGCCACCCACTCTACTCTTCTTGTGCAAGATTGCTTTGGCAATATGAGGTCTTTCATGATTCCAGACAAATTGTCTGATTGTCTTTTCTAGATCTGTGAAGAATGTCTCTGCCACTTTGATTGGGATTGTGTTAAATACATAGATTAAATTGGGTAGAATTGCCATTTTGATTATATTAATTCTTCCAATCCAGGAACATGCGATGTGCTTCTACTTTTTTGTCATTTTCAATTTCTTTTTTTAGCTTCTCATAGTTTTCCTTGTGGAGGTCTTAAACTTTTTTGGTTAGATTTATTCCTAGGTGTCTTATACTTTTTATGGCAATGGTAAATGAAATTATGCCTGTTATTCGTATATAGAAATGCTATCGATTTCTGTATGTTGATTTTGTATCCTGCAACTTTACTGTATTCACTTTTTACTTCCAGGAATTTTCGCATGGATATCATTGGCTCTTCTATGTATACAATCATGTCATCTGCAAATAGAGATCATTTCACCTCTTCTTTTCCTATTTGGATGCCTCTTATTTTATTCTCTTTTCTGAGGACTTCCAGTTGAAAAGGAGTCGAGAAAGTAGGCATCCTTGTCTGGTACCAGTTTTTAGTAGAAAAGTTTCCAGCTCTTCTCCATTCAGGATGATGTTAGCTGTGGGTTTTTCATAGATAGCTTTTATTGTGTTGAGAAATGACCCTTCTATGCCAATGTTGCTGAGAGTCTTGATCATGAAGGGATGTTGTATCAAATGCTTTTTTGGCATCAATTTATATGATCTTATGGCTTTTATTTTTCTTTCTGTTAACATGGTGTATTACATTTATGGTTTCACATATATTTAACTGTCCTTGCATACCTGAAATAAGCCTATCAGGTCGTGATGTATAATCTTTTTTATATGTTGTTGTATACTATTTGCTAGTATCTTGTTGAGAATTTTTGCATCTATATTCATCAGAGATATTGGTCTATAGTTTTTCTTCCTTGTCCTATCCTTGTGTGTTTTAAGGATAAGGGTGATGGAGGCTTCATAGAATGAATTTGGGAGAGTTCTACCCTTTTGGATCTTTAGAAATAACTTGAGCAGAGTGGGGGTTAACTCTTCTTTAAAAGTTTTGTTCAGAGGTTAAATCATCAGGACCAGGGTTTTTGTGTTGTTGTTGTTAGGAAGTTATTTATTACTAATTCAATCTCCTGGCTTGTTGTGGGCTTATTCAGACTTTCTGTATCCTCCTGGCTCAATCTTGGTAGGTTATATGTGTCCAGGAATTTGTCCATCTCATCTAGGTTTTCTTGTTTTGGTGGATAGTCAGTCAGATAGATCATAGTATCCACTAATGTTGTTTTGTATTTCTATTATGTCTTAAATTGCCTGCTTCATTGCACATTTGATTTTCCTGGTTCCTTTCTCTGTTCTTCTTAATTAGTCTTGCTAGTTATCGATTTTGTTTATCTTTTCAAAGAACCAGCTTTTACTACTTTCATTTATATTCTGTATAGTTTCTTTATTTTCTATTTCATTTATTTCTGCTTGGATCTTTAGTTTTTTTTTTCTCCTGGAGTTTTTTTGATTTGCTGTAGGGCACATGCACTTATTGGAGACAGAGGCAGAGAGCATGAAAGTGAGAAATCACCCCTGAGGGGGTGGCCACATCGCAGTTCTTTCTCCTTCACTTTCTTCTCAGGATTTTGGGCGTGCACACACATGTTCTTGGTGTGCTTTTCAAACCACTGGGTCTGGAACTCAGACTGCAAAGTAATCTGTGAGAGATATGGGTACCATAACCACCTCGCCACCAGCCTTCCTGCCCCCTGTTTTTTTTTTAATAGTGACAACATGAAAATATCTTAACTAATTCTCTTCTTGCCAGTTATCTGTGTCCAATAGTAGCCGCGTTGTGACGCATGACATTCCTGTCAAGGTTATTCCGAGAAAACTGTGGAAGGACTTGCATGAGCCAGTGGTCCCAGATGCTGATGTAAGTGCTTTTGTCCATCACAGGTTATAGACATTCTTGGGATCCTCTAACAGTAGCCATCGTCCTGCAGACTACTTTGTTTGAAAGCCGTATGTTGCCTAAAGTGAAAGTGATGTTCACTTTAAAAAAATATTCAAGGAGAAAAATGGGGTATCTGCCTTTTGTCATTATATGAAGCATGGAAAAGCATGTTGCATACAGTAGGACAGCCACAGCCATACCCTCTTAGAATGTACAGAGAAGACTGAAGTAATGCTTTGGAGGCCAGTCAGACCTGTGGCCTGAAGCATCAGCATGAGTTTCACAGTGCTTGGTCAGGAGACGCACCAGGACAGGCATCCAGATAAGCACGAGAGAATAAAGAGGAGAGCCGTTTGGGTCTTGAGCTGGAGTTCACTGGAGTTCCCAGTCTTGCTGGGAGGGACCCACAGCCACTGACAGTAAAGATGGTGCCCACAGGTCCTTTGCCTCCTGCTCACAATTTGGTTCAGAAGAAATGACAAAGATAGACTGGGGGAAACAGGTTTGTGTGCGCTAGAAGACATCTTCCCTGCTGGAGAGGCCATTGTGCCCTGAGGCATCATTAGCAGCAGTCTCGCATGTGATGTGGGGGCTGCTTGCTGTGTGTTTGCACATTGTGGGGAAAAGGCCCCTGAGCCTGTGTGCCAATATCCTCAGAGGAGGACCTACTGCTGGGTACCTGCTTTTAGTCCCTGTGGACTTGTGTCTGGGTGTTTTGGCTGAAATGCTGTAATTGTCACTGAACCAGAAGCATTCTGTCAGGGATGTGCACCAGGTAACTGAGACAGGCATCCAGATCTGTAATTTTGCTTGAATGTCCATGAGCTAGTGACTATAAAATACTTTCTTTTTATATTTTCAAAAGAACCATTTTCAGGATATGTTGAAACAGGATTCCAGAGGGTTTGAGCATAAATATATTCCAAAATTATTTATCACTATCTGTCAGTATATCAGTATTTTTAACACTTTGATTTTTTTCATTGGTTTTTTAGGTTTGTATTTATTTACCAGTCTTGAAGACTATGAAGAGTGTTGTGGAGAAAATGAGGAACATCAGCGATCACCTTGTAAGTTATAACTTCTTTAGAACAGAACCCTGCAGTGTTTGACTTGTTAGCCTGCACGAGCACTTGACAAGTGTGGACAGCACAGTCTGCGAAACACCTTCTCTGTGGGGCACTTTAACACTTAGCCCGAGTCATCCCAGCAGGGTGAGTGCCTGTACTGAGGACTGGCTTGGTGTTGACAACCTGCAGGCTTAGAGTTCCCTTTGGAAACCTGTTCTAGTGCCTTTAAGCCGCATTCACCAGGGAAAGCTTTGATATTTGCTCTGAATTCCTCATGTTTATATTTATAGTACATTAAACATCTGTCCAACAATTCTACCCTTTTTTCCTATATATTGTGGACAGAACATTCTTTTATCTGCTAATGTGTACAATTTGTAATAGGGTTCCCCCTGCCTTTCCCCCATCTCCCCCAGAGAGTGGTTATGTTTGCCAGAGAAAGAGAGAGAGAAAGTACTCGGTGGGACATAGTCAAGCTGCAGTCCTTACTCCTCCACTTCTTCATCCTGCTAGGATTTTGGGCATGCACACATGCAGGTCCAGCATGTATTTCCAGCTGCTTGGGCCAAAACTCAGACTGTGGGTGATCGTGTGGGATCCACCTCCCTGCACAGTGCTTTACTACTGTGCTACAGGGCTGGCCTGATGTGTACTTTCTTAATGAATCACTGATAAGACTGGTGAGTTTGGAGTGTCCTAATCTCTTGCCAGGTGTCTCTCAGTGAGCAAAGGACAAAGCTCTGTAACACCATACCAGTCTTTGCTCCAGACAGCTTACCCCAAGCTAATGGATGTTTTCTGAAGGTCACCTATGTCTCAGGTCTTAGATGCTATACTTTGTGACAGTGATGGGAACTCAGTGGATCACTCTGCTCATATGTGGAGTTATCCTGGATTCTTCCTTTACTGACCTCTCTCCCAAAAAAACATTTGGGGCAGCAGGTGATGTGGCAGTTAAGGTGCTAAATCCCACATAGTTGACTTTGTAGTTCAAGTCCCAGACTTGGCAGCTTGAAAATCATGCTGGGGCCTGTGTATGTGTCCCAAATCCTGAGAGGAGAATGGAGGAGAAGGGACTGCAGAGTGGCCATCTCCCCTGGGGGCTGATTTCTCACCTTTCCTCTCATCACTCTTTCTCTAGAGAGTACTTATGCCCTATAGCAAAAACTTAGACACACACACACACACACACACACAACCATGCATGATTGATTGTGTTCCTGAATTGTTTAAAAATCACCGTCCATCTAGGGAAGCGTAAACTTCGGTCTGCAGTCTGCTGGGCCACTCTCCAGCCACATCCCTGCTCCAGCATCTTGCTTTCCATGCCGAGCCACTCTGGGCTCTAATTCCTGATGGCCCCTTTTGTTTGCAGGTTCTGTTTCTCTGCATTTCACATCTTCTCTCTGCCTTCCCCTGGAGAGCACTGGCCTCTTCTCACTGCTCAGCCTAGACCTTTGCGGATGGCTGCTGAGCCCCTCGCCCTGCTACTTTGTGTAGAGTATGTGATAAATTCCTGCCTGTATCTCAGTACTCCTGCTGAGCTACATTGGCTTGGAAGGGTCACCTTGTCCTGCTCATCTCCATGTCTAGTGCCCAGGCAGGCTGGTCAGTCAGAGGGCAGTGACAAGTGTAAAGATATGAAGTAAAGTTTGGCCTCAAGGCATGTTAGGAATCTCAAAATCTGACACCTAGAAAATGGTCATGGGCTGTTTTTTCTCTAGAGTTCTGCTCATTTAAGAGTCATGCTGCCATTGGGCTGGCCTGACATAAAGCTTTTCTTTCATAAGTTAGTCTTTATAGATCTCATTTTAATTTAAAATCTGCTTAGATGTAGCAGTATGCTGCTCTCTGTGACTGCCAGGGTGTTGTTCCAGTTGTCAGGCTGGCTTCCTCCAGGGATACCCTGGGGACTTCCAGAGGGCTTTGGAAGCCCAGGAGAGAAAAGGCAGGGCAGTTAATTAATTGAAGCATCCATTTGTTTGTTCTTTCTGATCAAGAGGAAATGAGTCAGCAAAGTATAAAGGTAGAAAGTTAATTTGGATAAAATCATCCCAGGCATTTAGTTTTCTCTGAAGTGTTTTGTTTTCTCTTTTCAGGGGTATTTGAAAGACAGAAATTTTGTGGAATGGCCACTAAGATCTGGGATTACTAAATGGAAAGTTATCAAGTTTGTTGTACATAATGAGATCTATCTAGATAACCAGAGTTGTGTAACTGAATATTAGAGGCAGTAGAATTAAAGAGAATAAGTAGGACTCAGCACCATACACTGAGAACACATCCCCTCCCGTCAGGTATACTCAGCCCCTTCCTTCCCTCATTAATTCGAGATATGACTGAATAGGTTTGAGGGTTGTGTATGTGACATGTTTAGGAGGAGAAAAAGGGCCAGGACTATTAAGAATCTACATTGTGTTCTTTAGATGTTTCTACGCTCTCCCAGGCATGTGCATATACTGGGATATGGTTAACGCATGAACTGAGGCTTGCTTCATGGCCTGGTAGTTAAGGCTACTGGATCCCATGTGGCTGACTCCACAATTCAAGTCCACAGTTCCAGACTCAGTAGCTTAAACATGCTGGGCACATGTGCATGTATGTCCAAAATCCCTAACAGGTGGGAAAGATAGAAAAGGGAATGCTGTATTACCATTCCCCATTGGGGGGATGCTTCCTCCATCTGCCTGCCTTTCTGTCTCTCCCTGGCAAGCATACCTGCCCTCTGGCAAAAAAAAAAAAATTTAAATGTTTTTAAATGCAAGGTCTAATTCCAGAGGTCTGGGCTGGATCTAGGGCTCTGTGCGTCTCAGTTCTGTGGGATGCAGATGCTGCCTATCTTCAGACCACACCAAGGAGCAGTGTATCGTGATGTGTGCTGCCCCATAGTGTGTGTACTTCAAGGGTTAGCTCAGAAGCAAGCTTCTCAGGATTTGCATAATGATTAAAATAGTCAGATATGTGGGGAGGAGGTGTCATGAGCACACAGTTGAGCCATACCTCTGGGTCTAGCTGCTTGGTGTGAACCCTAGTGTTGGGTGTTACTCCAAATGCGGATAATAGTGCAACCATCACAGGGTTTCTCACTTTTTGTAGTTAGAGATAATTTATTTTTGGTGCCCAGTGCAATCAGCCATCATTCCACCGACAGTAGGTAGCTATTAAGGACATCATTGAAATATCTGATACTTAATACTTGAGAAATACTCAATAAATCTGATACTTAAGAAATCTAGCGGGGGACTAGCAGGTGGCATGGTGGTTAAGGCGCTGGACACTCCCACATAGCCAATCATGGTTCAAGTCCTGGACCTGGTGGCTTGCTTCCTCACTTACTTTCTCTCTCTCTCTCTCTCTCTCTCTCTTTCTCTCTGTGTCTCTCTCTGATCAAATTAAAAAATAAAATGAATGAATAAATAAAATAAAATAAATAATTCTTTAAAAAAAAAAAAGAAATCAAGCATGTTGATGCCCATAATATTCCAGGTGTCTGAGTTATAAAATAGACAGAATTGACTGATATTCAGAGAATTACTGCAGTTTTTTTCCTTTAATTTTTTTGATAACTGTTGATTGGATGCCACCATGTACCAGATACCACGTGTGATCAGGAGTGAGTTGGAATATAATTCATTACTCTGATTTTGGAATCTCTAGAAAGAATAAGAGAGCATTTAAGCCTGAAGTGAATCTAGACCCATTGCAAGTTGCTTTCTTGAATAAGTATTTATTTGTATTTAAAACAATTATTTTTCAAAAGTAACTGGATTTGCAGATTTTGGAAATGTGGTTGTTTGAAAGAAATGGAGTTATGTCATATTTTAGCTCTGCAGAGCCCCAGTAGGTGGTCTAGGATACCTACCGGAATTGGTTTATCTATTTTCTTTTTTTTTTTTTTTAATAGACCACAGATTAGTTTATTTTTAACACCCATCATGCCATGAATTCATAGGGAATAGGTTCCAGTAGCTCAGGCTCCTTTCCATTGGTTCTCACCAAGTGTGCTTCTTTGGGTGGAGCAGGCTGGCGCTTTAGTTGAACCCAGGTACCTTTCTCTTTGGCTTCTTTCTTTTTCTGGTCATTTTCCTTCACACGTTTTAGGAAGCTATCTCTGCTATTAGAATGCTTAATATGCTCAATACACACATTAATTCTCTTGGCAGGAATCTTGCTCTTAACTTGTTTGTTCACAACAATGCCAACAGCATGCTGGGTAACATTGTAGACTCTTCCAGTTTTGCCTGGTAACATTTGTGGGGCTTTCCTTTTTGAACAGTACCCATTCCCTTAATGTCTACAATATCACCTTTCTTGTAGATTCCCATATATGTTGCCAAAGGAACAACTCCATGTTTTCTAAAAGGCCTAGAGAACAAATATGAGGTGCCTCTCTGTGTTCATCATTTTGGTTAATTACTGGAAGATGGCGGTTCCAGCCAAAAGGCTATCTATTTTATTTTCCTCAAGTATTCTAGATTATAGGAGAGTGGGTTAAGAAATATAACAATGTACTTCTTAGTTAATGGAAGAAAAAGGTTGAAAATGAATACTACTCATTCAAAAGTAAGTTTACTAGATCATACAAGCAACTTTGTGCAGCTATTTTTCTCTTTTTTTTCTTTCCGTTTTTCAAAAAGTCAAGAGGGTTTCCGCATTCACCAGAGAGAAAGAGGGAGGGAAAGGGAGCAAGCACCACCAATGGGATGTGGCCACACCATAATCACTTCTCCATTCTCCATCCTCTTGGGATTTTGGACACACACACACACACACACACACACACACACACACACACGAA